GGATAAATAGCTTGTCACAATTTTTTTATTAATTAAGTAGCTAGTATTTTACAAACTGATATAGATATCAACTTATCGGCATTCAGCAATTATTCGTACCTATCAGATCTAACTATCCAGTGGCGTATTTTGGTCTTTTTTGGGAGTGAGGGTGTGTGTACTGACTCCTGACAATACTATTTCTCCAAGAACATCAACATAGCTTCATTATAAATTCATACCTGATTACAATACCCTTTCCTTTATAAGTAGTAATTTTCTTGTAAGAAAACTCTTAGGACTGCTACCTAAATTTTTAATTGTAATAAGATTATCAAAGGAATAAAGTAGAAACGATTTAACTGAGTATCACATTTTTTTTCCGAAATAATATATGCTAAGAGCTATAATAACACGAGTACATGGGATAAGAAGCCACCCACTAGTGGCACTTAGTAAAATTAAGTCCGGAATATTTATTATTTACGAGTAAAGAACGTAGCCTGCGAAGATGGGCGTTTAAGGTAAGTCTCTTAATAGTTTAATACGGATATRGTTATTCCTGGCCAGGCGTTTATCCAAGTTAAGTCCTAACTCCTAGCTCCTAAGTGTCTAACTGTGTCATATGTGGGAACAAGGATGTTATGTTATGTAACTAAATATTAGGACAAATGGAATGGTATAAGTATRAAGTGAACATTGTATGTATGGACTGACTTATTGGGATTAGGTTTAATGGCAAGCCAAGAGTGTTATATTAAAATTAATTTAATGCTTAAATTTACAATAACAATYTTGTATTCGAAGACAAATGATAAGACGATACCCAATAATACAGCAGGCTGCCGGCCCGACATCACAAAACGATAATAAAATATTCTAAGAATTACGTTTACGTCCCTACCTAGCTACTTCACCGTTTACTGGAAGTTCAAATAACATTTGATAATTATATAATCAACGCTAATTCTCGATATCTGGTATAACATGGAAAATACATTATTCAATTTTCAAAGCAGTTTTAAAATATTTCGTCATTCGTCAACAATATTTTACGATACTTGAGTAATGAATATAACTAGAAAAAGATTGGGCGAGTTTTAATCCTGGGACACCCCCCCGCTCGCCTTATTGCGCCACTGTAACTATTGGTATGACTAAGTTAATGTAATACTGAATAGTGAATACTGAATTCAGTATGTAAATTTCGTTATTAATTAATATATTTTATAGACCTAACCGTCTCTGTGCTTTGCATGTGCAGATCATGTTTACGGTCAACGCGGGTTTTAGTGATTCCTTCTTCCACGATCCTCTACAAAGTACAAATATGATAAAATAATGTCATAATAATCTAATAAGTAATAACAAATACCATATACGAAAATACGAAGAATTCTTCAAATTTTTCGAACACACCATGGTCTGTGGGCTGTGGCGATCAATTTCTCTAGTGGTTGCCTATTCATATTCTGCTCACAACACAATATGTTATATATTTCCATTTTTGAATGGGATTTTTCATTGGAAATCATTAGTGAAATTGATCGCAATGTCGCCAACTATATAAATGTTTAGTATTGCCGTTTATAGTATTTGCTTATACAAAAACTCAACTTCGGTTGCGGTTCATTTTGAACTCTTTCAATATCGATATTGTTTCACATCGTATCGTATTCGAACTTCGAATTTAAGGTTTTTATAATTTAAATTTAAAAACCTCGAACATTATTTTTGTGTCGAACAACATAAAAAAATTGCTATTTCGTTTCGTCTTTAAAAAATTGTCGTCTTCGGCTTAAATAGCCTGTAAGCACTAAGCAGTAATACGTTCTGTGCCATTGTAGTAACACTAGTAACTACTATAAAAGATAGTAAGTAGCAATTAGCAATAATATGTCGATATGGCACTCGACGGCTCAACGTGACCTCGATTTTAAATAATCGAATTCTGTGTATTTCACGAAAGACCAAATACACCAATGAGAAATCGTAGTTTTTATCAATAGTCTGTTATAATATTATCAAATACTAWTATGCAGTATCAGTATGTGGCTATGACGCTATGTGCTATTTTTAAATTAAAGCTCCAAGAATCGAAATCCAAAATGTGTGTTCCAAGTTTCAACTATTTAATGATTTATTGATTTACCAATTACATTTTAACATTTGCTCAGTAAACATTTACTTACGTAACTCCTATTTTTCTACAATTTCTATAATATTTATGTGCTAACGTTTTTAAAATAATTATT